TTGGGAGCTCTGTGGGGCAGGGGTTGCCCTTTTACTCTACTTGTACAGAGTCTATCACACTGGAGTCCTGATCCAAGGGGAAGACTTCTACCTGTTGCCACACTACAAGCCATGGGCGTGCAAGAGCCATATTCTGCTCTGGGCTGCACTCCTGTAAACTCTTTTGGGTTCGACACCTGGAGTCACACCCACCCTCCTACCTCAGCATGATTCAGCTGTAGGAACCCAGGACACTGGGCAAGGCCAGAAGTAGGAGCCAACTGCTCTTTGATTTCCTTGCACACTGGCTGCCCCCGGGCACGTGTCATAGTGATTACTCACCGGGTGGAAGACTGGGGGCTGGAGGATGAAATCTACCAGAGAAGTGGGGCCCATGGTTTGAAAATCCTCAAAGCCAGCAAGCTCTCTTCAGTTTCCAGCAGGGAACTTTGCGCTTAGAGCAGTCACATGATGCAATCACACTGGGTGGAGAGAAAACTTTTAAGAGAAATCCACACCAGCCTCCCTCCGGAGCAGCCTTTGGCTCTTTCATCGTCCATGCAGGGTCCTAGTGCCTGCCCTAATTTAGAGGGAAATGCTGACCCAGCTCTTCAGCTGGCGGTGATTGGCTTGCAGCCTTCGGCCCCAGCTGAGGGTCTGGCCCCATTGAGTGTTTGGGAATCAGGATGCTGACTCGTAGGTAGCGTCACCACAACTGAATTTAAAATCTCACAAGTCAGCAATATTGTCCCTGCCAGGAGTTCATGAATCAGCCCCTCCAAGATGTCATGGGATTGGCTCAAATCCATGAGATTTCAAAAAGACTGTAATACATGCTGCTGGGCTTGTTTATCTTACTTGTGTTTGTAAGCCTTTAGAGATCAAGCTTTTCTTTTGGCATTTGCAATGTTTTAGAAAGGGGGAGGACAGATTTCCCCTTCAGGGAATTCAGCTGACACTAGAAAACCTCACTTTACCTGGGATTTCAGGTGGGACTTGAACCCTGGTTCCAGCCAGTCAAGGCTCCCCAGCCCTCAAGGAAGCGTTGCTGATTTTGAGTGGGGCTGGCTGGCTTTGTGTGAGCTGATGTAGGGCATCTGGTTCAATATCCAGTTCTGCCACCACACTCCCTGTGCGACCTTGGGCAAGTCACTTAATTGCTCTGCCCCAATGGCCCCATCAGTAAAATATGGGACATAATCATCCTTCCTTTGTTTGGACTGGGACCACTTTGGGGCAGGGAGTCTCCCCCTGGGCTTGAGCCTGGACCAGTATGTTGGACCATGATCGTGGCAAGCATTTCTGTGGGTCGCTGTAACTTAACTAAGTAATATTAGAAATGTATTGGCATGAGTGGCCTCTCTGGGTACATCTACACTGCATGCTTATTTTGGAATAAGCAATTTCAGAAGAAATATTCCAAAACAGATTATTTCAAAATAGTGTGTCTGCACTACAGGGAAGCCTCGAAATTAGCCCAAGGCAGGCTCCCCTAATGTGAATGTGCTACCCCAATTTAGAGCCCCAGGAAGCGCTAGAGAGTAATTACTTTGAATGGTCCTGGGGAGGAGCTATTTCAAAATAGCAGAAGTGGAGCATCCACACTACAGCTATTTTGAAATAGCAGTTTCGGAAGAGGCATTATTCCTTGTGGAATGAGGTGTAAAGAAGTCAGAATAAGCCGTCCATTATTTCAAAATTATTTTGAAATAGCAGTATTGCTGTGTAGACACTTGATTGTTATTTCAGAATAACTGCCGAATAATATTCTGAAAGAATGCTGCTGTGTAGATGCACCAAGCTCGTTTCGTTCCTTTGAAGAGGGGGAACAAATTCTTTTAAAATGTTAATTTCCCTCCACCAGATGGCAGTGTTGTCCCAAAGGTTTTCACGTTTCTCTGTAGTGGATAGCCATGGGCAACCTAGGCTAGTGAGTGGGCTGCATGAGTGGCCCTCCTTCCGCTCAATCGGCTGCACGACTGTCGTAACCAAGATGGTCTCCCGTAGTTTTGCTAACTGAGCGCTTGCGTGCCTAGAATTTGCAGGTGCGCTGACTGAACTGCAGACGCGCTTTGATTGGCTGCAGAGGGAGTGCAGGGCTTTTACAGTCAGTGTTGTGTGCAATCAGCACGCACCTAACTTCACGTGCCCTTGCTTGATGCGAGTGTCACTTTAGTAATACTGGTAGGAAAAAATGACATGGCCGGAAACCAGTGGAACTTGGTACCTGTGCATGGGCAATGGTAAATAAAATGTCTTGCGGGCCACACATAGAACCCCGATGGGCTGTAGGTTGCCCACGACTGGGCTATGTCCTGCACAAAGGGGATTAAATATAACAAGGTCCAATTCTGCAAAGGGTTAAGCTGGTGCATAACTTTACTCACTTAAAGTTGTAATTACTTATATTACAAGAGCACAACTAAGAATGAGACCTCCCTAATGCTGGGCACTGTCTGTACTCTGAAGGGGATCAGAACTTCTTCTGCCAGGTGTTGGCTCAAGAGTGAAAGACAGTCCTTATAACCAGAACAGACTATGTCAGGGAAAGGGAAACACACAAAATGACTCCCCCAAAGTCATACAGACAGTCGGTGGCAAAGCCAGGAAAAGACCCCATATCTTCTAGGCTTGGGTTTTTATTGGCTTCTGAACATTTTGTACTAAGACAGACAGTCGGTGGCAAAGCCAGGAAAAGACCCCATATCTTCTAGGCTTGGGTTTTATTGGCCATGTAGCCAGCCCGCTTCTGAACATTTTGTACTAAGTCAGGGAGCACTGGGTGATATTTAGTTTATCCAGCAGCACAGCTAGAGCAGGACCTTTGACCCTGGAAATGTTCAGCTATAGGTTAATGGGCCATCCTATTAGCAGCAGAAAAAAGCAGACTCAGCAACTTCCAGGTACCTTTGTTCCCAGAAGGTGCTTGGAAGGATGAGGGCTGGACTTTGACACCCATTTGTTTGGTGACTTGCCACACTAAGCTTACAATCTATTTGTAAGACTGATCACAATCTTCCCAAATGGGTCTCCAAGCAGGTTCCTTGTTTGGGTCATTACCAAATTGGTCCCCAGGGCATCTCCCTCCCAATTGGCGCTCCAAACCTTGCTTCTCTGCAAACCCAACAATCAACCCTCAGTTTCTCATGGTCCTCATAGGGGCCACCATACCCAAATGTGCCATGAAACTCCCCACGGCTCTGACAAATGATATGGGGTGAAATTTTGGGCTCCTCAAAGTCAATGGGAGTTTTCCAAATAACTTCATTGGGGGCAGGATTTCACCTACACTCCAGTTCAACCACAAGCCACCATCACGCTCGCAGCAGGGAAGGGAACTCCCTCCATTGCCCCAAATGCTGTGTGACGGACTAAAGACAGTTTTCTTAGCCCCAAATGCCTGTCTTTGACGCCTGTCTGTGTCCCTCCACTGGCTCCCCTTCTCTTTCACATCAGACTTAAGCCACTTGTCTTCCTTTCCGAAGTCCTTCATGCTCTGAACACCTGGCCGGGTGTTCTCCTCCACTCTGGAGGGCGATGATTCCTACCTCCAGCCAGCCTATGATGCCGGCCACCATCACCCACTAATTACAGTTTCAAACAAGCCTCTTTGTGTTTTCTCCCCTGCTGCCCCTCGTGTTTGGGAAAAGCTCCCTGTAAACACCTGCAAAAAACCTCACTCTCCGCCTTCAAACTCTTCTTAGACACTCCTTTGCCATGAGGCCTACAAACAACCTGACAACAGTCAGGGCATGAGTGGTTGGAGCCCACTGCTTGTCATGCTGGCCAGGATCGTCTCATGGTTTTCTTCTGCTCCTCAGTGTGTCTGTATCCAACTGTCATCTCTTGTCTTACCCTTACACTGGCAGCTCACTGCAGTAGGGACCATCTTTCTGTACAAGGTCTACACAGGGCCTAGCCAGGCCTGCCAATGGGCCAGGGGAGGGGCGGCCCAGTGATTCAAAAGGACCCAGGACTCCCAGCTACTGCCCGGAGCCCTGGGCCCTTTAAATCACTGCCAGAGTGGAGGGCTGGCTGCCCGGCCCTGCCACTTCTGCCCTAGGTCCAGCCTCTTCCAGGAGTACGAAGCCCTCCCCACCTTGTCCTGGGGCCTGGTGAGGGAGTCATCTCCCTTGTGCCAAGCACAATGGGGTCCTGCTCTAAGGACAGTACAAATATCCCAGGCTGTCCTTGGGATATGCTCAAATATCTGGAACAGACCAGGGAATTGCAGCGAGCTCTCTAGACCCTTACAGCAGGGCCTGAGTCATGAGCCTGTCCGCTGGAAACTCTCTTAACGCTCTGCCACGTTCTATCCGACCCACTAACTTTCCTGAGCCAGCTGGAAAAACACCCTAATGTGACTCTAGTGCGTCACGTGGCTTTGACCCTGGTCAGTGAAGCTTCACCAGGACACCCGCCACAGCTAAAAAAGACAACCCAACAAATTCCAGCCTGGTCCAAAGGGTGGCTGCAGTCAGGCGAGCGGTGTAGAAATGGGGTGGCAAGGGGAAAGGTCACATGAACTGGCAGACAATCATTTAGGTGATGAGCTACTGGGAGCTCTTGGACAAGTCATCTCCCTCCACCCCCACCCTTCGACTGTGAGCTTCCCCAGGACAAGGTCTTATCTCCAAGGCCTTGCCTAGACTGGGCAAATCCATTGTGCTGGGGTGACACAAGCCATCATGACCAGCACACCAGGGCTTGAGCTGGAAATCTCCAGAGCTGAATTCATGAGTCACTACAGGCAGTCATTGCAGCTGATACCTGTAACAGAGCTACCATCCCTGTGAACCATGTCTGAGTTAGGCTACATTAAATGGGAGAAACTGAGGCACAGAGTGAGCGCAAGTTACTTGCCCAAGGACAAACAGGGTATTGGACCCTGATCTTCTCTGTCTTAGCTCAGTGCCTCAACCCACAAGCCAGGTCTCCTTTGCCCTACAGGAAGCCTTGTGCCTAATAAACGCTTAAGCAGCAGCCACCAGGGTTCAGGGCTGATGTTTTGCCACAGCAGACAGTCAGAGTTTATTCTAATGATGGAACACGCTGCATACCTTAGGGGCTCTTTGCCTCCCTTTGCCTGCTCCCCAGCTCCCTGGGGCCACCATCCCCTCTAGTTCAGGGACTCCCTGCAACTCCCCCCACCCCTTGCTCCCACCAGGGGCTCTGTGTGCCCTCCTGACCCCTCCTTCCTCCTCTTCCCCTGGCAGGGACACTGCTGTGATTGATTTGACTCTGCCATGGGATGCTGGTGAACTGGCTCTGTAAAGAAAAACTAACCCTGGGGTGTCACCCTCTGCAGCACCTCAACTCCTACTCCAGAGAATTTAGCAACTGAACCTTCCAGAATTAGTCAGTTGGCTGCTTGGCTTGGTGGTCTAGTGGCCTAGCATGCCTGGGCTCTTATCCCAGCTGTGGGAGGGCAGTGGCATCTAGTGGTGACATCAATGGATTGGAAGACAGGTCTCCTGTTTTGTGCTCTTCTGAGACTTCACAACTAAATGGTTCAACCCTTGGCAAACCTGCTTTGCTGGCCCTGCCATGAGAAAGGCTGCTGTTTCCTCTTATCATATGCCAGAGCTGACACCATCATGGCTGGGGTCTCTGTGGGTGGGACAGTGGGTTCATGCCATATCCTCTGCCACCCCGCCCCCTCCAACTCCAGTCTTAAATCGAATTCTGCCAGTGTGCTCCCCCGGCAATGAACTGCAGCGGCAGCCTTCGGCCCCCTCCATAGCAAAAATGAGCAGGGTAGCCAAGCTGCATTAGCTTGGCCTTCCATGAGCTGCAGTAGGGTGATAAAGACAGATAGGAACTTCCATAGAATAGAAACTTCATAGACCTGGCCAGAGATTGGAGCCCTGTCACATTTGGTGCTGCACAGACCTTGCCCTCATCATGGCACACATCGGTAGGCAGACTCTGCCTCAAAGAGCTCTCCGTCAAAACAGACAGCTGGGGAAACTGAGGCAGGGGGTATTTTGCATCTGAGATTTTTCCCCTGAGTCGTAGTCCAGGGCCTAATCCACAAGCTGTCCTTCCAACACAGAACTAAGCTCTGAAAATACTCTCCACTGGCCTTTAAAGGATATTTTGCCAGGGAGAGGTTTTTAACAGAGCAGCTCCACTCCCAGGTACTGACATGCAGTCCCCAGCATCTGCTGGCTCCTCTGGTTCTTGTGTAACTACATGTGGATTTGACTAGCTACCACTGGCTCTGCCAAATAGATGCACAGGTTGTCATTCCTATTCAGCTGATGAACAATGGCCTTTCAGTAAAGAATTGGGACCCAGGAGATCCCTTGAGCCAATGATAGCATTGCTCTGTGCCTCAGTTTCCCTGTTTGTAAAATGGGGGAGAATTATCCTCCAGCCCAGTGCAAGAGGGGTCCTGATCTCAGACAGGACCCATGGAGCACCAGCACAAGAGAGGGGCCCTGATCTCAGTCAGGATTTGTGAAGTGCCCAGCATGAGAGGGAGGCCCTTGATCTCAGAGTCCATGCAGCATCTAGCATTACCTGAAGGGTGGCCCTGATTGCAGATCCGCTGCATCCCACTCCGGTGCCTTAACCACAGAGCCTTCTTATATTTAGACTTTTCTCCACTTTTCCAGATCAAAGTATTCATGCAGCTTTCTCTGATGGCCGAAGCCAGGCAAATGCGCCACACAACACCTGCAATGCTACCCAGTGGGAGAGACCAGACCTGGGCACTTTGGCCTCTAGAACGCACTGACCTTGTACCCAGCCACGTAAAACCCTGATGATGCAGCCTGTACATTTCTGAGCACAGCCCCGCCCGCAGAGAGCACTGGATGCGTTTCCCTTTTTGGCCCCTCTCCGATTCCAGAAGGCTGGTTTCCCTTGACTTTGCTCTTGGGGGTGTCACAGTTTTCAGCCCCATGCCTTAGAGTGAACTCGTCTTCCAGCAAACCCAGTGCACTTTCCTCTGCTGCATTTTGCTCCATTTTCCCCTTACATTTTTTTCAGATTTTTTTCCCTTTTCATTTTAATGAATCCCTTAAAACAAGAGTAAAACTTCAACCTAATGAGCTGATTAACGCTTATATAATCCTCTAGGACTGTTAAATCAGGCTCTCTTTGCCAGAAGGGGGAAAACAGGAATCTATTTTTCAACTCCCCTTCTCCCCCAGCAAAGGTTCTGTTTTATTTGCCATAGAAGTTTCACTGAGCGACCAGTTCCACTGGGCAACCTGGAAGCTTGACAGACTCAGTGACTCTAACCTCAAGCCACAGGTACAAATCCAAAGCTAAAGCTCCACAATCAAATGAAAAGCTCTTTTGCCAGCTCTCCTGTGGATATTTCAGTGCTGGGAGCAACTCCACAGCAGCGTCTTAGGTAAATGCTAAATCTTTCCAAGGCTGCAAGGACTCTTCCAATCACTTTCTAAAGCCTCGATCAGTTGCAGACCAGATTCCCCGTAAGGGGAGTGACCTCCGGACCGCTGGATCCAAGAGCGTGACAGTCAATTACAGAAGTACACACGTTAGCAACTAGTGGTAACAGCAGCCCATTAATCACTGTTTATATTTGAGATCCATGCAGCTCTAGAAGTATTTGGAATCCTGGAGTATTTTTTTGTTGCTTGGGGTTCTTTCTGAGAACAAGGCTCTTCCAGCAGGATCATGACTTTTGCTGAATTCTTGCACCAGGTGGGTGGCATGGGACGTTTTCAAATTATCCACACAACGCTGCTCACCATCCCCATCGTGCTGATGGCCAGCCACAACCTCTTGCAGAACTTTACCGCTGCCATCCCAGGGCACCACTGCCAAATCCGTATCGATGGCAACAACACCCGCTACTCTAATGCTACCCTGCACCTGGACTCCCAGGACCTTCTCCGGGTCTCCATCCCCATGGACAGGAACCAACAGCCAGAGAAGTGCCACCGCTTTGTCAGCACTCAGTGGCAGCTCCTAGACCCCAATGCCACCCAGCCCAATGGAACTCAGCTGGCCACAGAGCCCTGCAGGGAGGGATGGACCTATGACAGGAGCATCTTCACCTCCACCATCATTACTGAGGTGAGACCTGCTGAGTTGCTAAGCTCTAGATGGAACAGGTGTGCTGCAGAATGCAGAATGCCATTATAGTTGAGGTGCTCAGGGATCAGAGAGAGGAGGACTGCATCGGTAACTAGGTAGATACAGAGATGCATATGAGACAGGTGGATACCGGGGTTTGAATGGGAAGGGAGATACAGCAAAACACAAAATCTTCAGGAAATGGTTGGAATGTGTTGGAGACGAAGGAGAGGGAGTAGCAGGGGGCTGTGACAGCCATTTTAGGCTCAGTTCTCACTAATGCAGGAAACGGTTGAGACTCTGAAGGGGGAAGGACATTTGGATGCAAGTGGTTATGAAATGATAGATTTCATGATTCTAAGGGAAAGAAGAAATGAGAGCAGCAGAAAGAGGACAAGGCACTGACAAAAAGCCCACTGTACCAAATCCAGAGAACTGGTGGGGGGGGGAGGGAGGTTCCCATGGAAAGCAAATCTAAGGGAAAAAGGAGTTCAGGAGAGCTGGCAGTTTCTTAAAGAGATAGAATTGGTGGTACAAGAGCAAACCTTTTTTATACCTTCCTTCCTGGCTGTCTTGTGTAAGAGGCAAATATGGCCCACAGGAGCGCTTTAAAGACCTGAAAATAAAAAAGTGGAAACACGGACTAATGGCTACGTTTGGGTACAAAAGAACAGTGTGAGTAGGAAGGGACACAACAAGAACTAAAGCACAAAATTAGTCACTCCTAGCTGGGGTGAAAGTAACTTTGCTTTCTTACAGGTACTGTTGTACTGCAACCCTCTCCTGGGACAGGATCAGGGCAGGGGTTGTGATAGGACAGTACCCGTGAGAAATTTAAAAATGAGATGGAATGTGGGGGGCTCAGAGTAGGGGGCTGTGTTGTGGGGGGTGCAGGGTTCAGCACAGGGGGTTGTGATGTGCAGTGGGGCTCAGAGTGGGGGGCTCATGGAAGGAGTATGGATGGCATCGGGGTACAGGAGTCAGGGCGGGGGACTGGAGTGTGGAGGGCTCAGGGCAGGTGATTGGCATCTGTGTGGGGAGCTTGGGGCTGGGAATGCAGCCACCATGCTGTCCAGCCACCAGATCCCTTGGGGCTGGCTGGGGGGGCAGGCAGCCAGCCGCCGCGCGTACTGAGGCCATGCAGCCCAAGTAGCTGGCAGCACCCAGAGCCCCTTCCCTAGCCGGCCAGTCTCTTACCAGTGCATTGCAGCAGGGCGCACCAGCTTACTTCCACTTTTGCTCTTAGAAAGAAATATAAGAGGTAATAAGAGATACCTATGGCGCAAGAGAAAAACAAAGGAAAGTAGGAAGGCTGAGGAGTTTAACATTCAGAGGGGTAGCCGAGTTAGTCTGTAACAGGAAAAACTTAAAAAAACCCAAATAGTCTAGTAGCACCTTAGAGACTAACAAAACACGTAGATGGTATCATGAGCTTTCGTGGGCACAGCCCACTTCTTCAGATGACACATTTAACATTAACAA